TTCTCCCACTCTCTGTGGTACTTTTGCAGTCGCTTGTGTTTAAACTCTGAAACTTTAAGACGCGGATTGTTACCTGGAGAAGCATCTTCTGCCATTACTCTCTGTCAAGACTTGACAGACTCTACTTAAGCCTAGTTTACACTACAGGATTTTAAACATCAGCAGATCGCTGTGCTGTTCACACTATATGACTTGACTTTGTGTCTTTTAATCTCTGTGGTGTTCACACTACGCAACACTCTGTGAATGATCCACAAGAGAGTGGTCACACACTACATGATCTGACAACATCTCATTCCCCATCAGCTCATTCAAGCTACCAAACCACAGCCAATGAAAATTTGAGGGAGGAGTCGTCAGAAAAAAGTTGAACACTATTGGCTGCTTGTGTGCTGATGACATCACTGACAGCGTTTCAAGCTTTGGAGAAAGCATTTAAAAACATCGTCAAATCAGCTGATTTATCAGCGGATTAATCACTCATCTGCAAGGTTCCAGTGGATAGATACACAGAGAGTTTTTAATTTTTGTATTTTTATAACTCTTTGAAATAAAACTAACATATTTATAAAACCCTGCCGTTTTCTAACTATCAGTGTATTTCTTTCTGACATTGTTATTTTTTTTATTACAAAACAGTAAAGAACTGAGCATTTCTGCCTTAAATTACCATATTGGTCAAAATGACTGCATGCATGTCTGATACTTTTCACTGTGACTTTAAATATGTGTGCATTTTCTTGCCTGGCAACTTCCTGCTAACATAAACAAAACTTTCTGATGGCAAAAACATCAATTTACTTCAGATATCTTTCAAAACAGCATATTCTGTGCTGTTAAATAGCTCCTGTTTGAAAGTGAAATTGAAAGCCAAGACCTTTAAGTGTTTTAGTATCTTAACTACATATTTATAGGCTGTATTACCAAAAAAATATTTTATTTTTAGGGTAATGGTGTCATTAAATATGATGCCAGACAATCAAAGCTTATTTTAATATCTCAATAATAGCTTTGAATGTAAATATGTTCCAAATGCAGAATGAAGCGAGTGCGTCGATGCCCATTCTGACCAATCACAGATGTTTCTGCTGAGCTCCTGAACACACAGGCATTCAGCCCATGCTGATATGCTCTCTCATTGGCTGCAGCTTGTCACTACATCTGACCACACGTGGGGTTGAGTCAGCCGACTGCTCTGGAATATTTAGCATGCTGAATGTTGGATTTCCGTCTGCGAGGTGTCGGCGACGCGTCAGCGAGCCTCGTTGATGCGTTGCTTAGTAGTTCACACATAAAGAGCGGCGAGCGCCGAGCACCCGCAGATTTCTTCCCGATCACAGCCCGATCTGTCGGCGAGCTCGTTAACTTCCAAATCGGGCTCAAATCAGGCTTAAAATCCATTAGTGTGAACTAGGCATTAGAAGATCTGCCCTCCTCACTGGACAAAGACCAATCAAACTAACGATGACATCATGTATTACCCAATCAAAAGTAGGAAATGAGGCATATTCAGAAAATGCGTGTGGGATGATTTGCACGTAAAAGCTACTTTTAAAAAATTATAAAAATACGGGACAAAACCCGTCCCGTATTGATTCAAAACGGGATGCGCAATTTCATTCTCAAATACGGGACGATTTCATATTTCAAGGGATGGGTGGCAACCCTACCTGCTGCTCCTGATGGAGCTTGTGTTTAAACGGCATTTCATCTCGTTTTATGCTTGAACATTTATTCTTTCATTTTCCTTCGGCTTAGTCTCTTTAATCATCAGGGGTCGCCTCAGCGGAATGAACCGCCAATTTATCCAGCATATGTTTTACACAGCAGATGGCCTTCCAGCTGCAACCCAGTACTGGGAAACATCCATACACACTTAGTTTATTTAATTCACATATAGCGCATGTGTTTGGACTGTGGGGGAAACCGGTGCACACGAAGGAAACCCACACAAACACGAGGAGAACATGCAAACTTCACACAGAAATGCCAACTGGCCCAGCCAGGACTCGAACCAGCGACCTTCTTGCTGTGAGGCGACAGTGCTAACTACAGAGCCATCGTGTCTGATAACTGATTATATTTGAATTAAAAACGATGCTGTAAAAAGAACCTTGTGCAGTTGAAAGTACAGCACATTACTCGTTCACTGGAAATGTATCAGTGGCTGAAAAACACTTTCACATAGCCTGTTAGTTTTCTGTAAACTTTAATGACGTCGTCACAAAACCTACGTCGATGCCAACGCATGAATTTCACATATACACAATAAATATAAAAAAGGAGTATTCGCTTAATGTTACGTCCGTCATGAAATCATACACGCTGTTAAAATGTCACACCTTTACGATCTTTAATCCTCTCAATATTATGCCTCTAGTAAAACAAAATGACAAATAAAGAAAAAAAAATAGGGAAAACGCAGACTTACTCTGTTGTTTCCCCACACGGTCGATGTTGCAGAGCAGTACTGGTTTTTGCAAGTACAGTAAGTTACACATCGAAGCATGAGTATGTTCAAGACAACAGTGACGCACCTGGAGCCAACATGAGGTAAGGAGATTCTCCACCAATAGGAGGCCAGGACACTTGCGCACCAGCCACCAATTTTCCTTTTTAATTGTCAAGAATTCTGTAGTTACACCGTAACTAATAAACTGTAACTGTAAACTGTTTTACAATTGTAATAAAACTGACGGACAATGAAAAATTACTATTTTCAAGATAAAGGAACTACTCTCGCTCTGGCGTCAAGAACCTAGCTGCTGCTGTTCCAGCACCAGGCGGAGTGATATTACGCAGCGCGTGATCACTTTTTACAGCCTATGGTGAGAACGGGCTACTTTTAGCGGGCGCCTTGAAACCATGGAGACGTGCTTTAGAAACCATGGGTTGAAATCGTAGACTCTAAAACAACAAACACACAAGTACAGGGACAGGGGCCTCGTCAGAGAATTGCCAGATGTTACATTAAACTTTGTCTTGTCAACATTTTGAAAATTGTTTGCTTTCATTGAGTTATTGTTTAAAATGTTACTTTTATACTGTAAGAAAATATCAGAGTTCGGTACATACTTTCAGTATTATTATTAATCCTGTTTATATGAAATAAACCTGCTTCCGATCAGGTTTGAGCTACCAGAACTGTTGCTATGACAACAATTCTCAGATCAGTTTTGAAGAACGAAACGATCCTGGATCATGTCAAATCGTCACTAACCAAATCCAGCTAACTGCGTAATCCACGTACGAAGAACAGACCCCTGGTCATTTTGATCTGGTTCGTTTAAACCAGAAAACATTTTTACACCACTAGATATTGTCAAGTGTCTTTTAATGTCCAAACCTTCTAACAGTAATTCATGCCTGAAGTGATTTTAAAATTTAAAAAAAGTGTTTAAAAAAAGTAATTTATTCCTCTGATGGCAAATGACTACAATTTACAATTGCATAATTATTTTATATGAATAGAAAAAAACAGAAATACTGCAAACACTGAAAAATAATAAATGAATTTTAGAATAATAGCATGTTCTGGATGCTTTTGTTATTATTGCAGTTATTAGGATTAAGCAATTTTGCAAAGTTTCAATGATATATTAAATGTCAAGCTTGTGACAATGTAACTCACAACAATAAAATCACACATAAGCAAGAAATTTGTATTATTTTAAAGAAGTTATGAAACTATATATTATAAAATCTTCTCATTTAAAAAATAACGATCACTCATACATCTCTTTCCCCTATCTTCTCCAAAATTCGCTATAGGTCCCGCCCATCAGCCAATCAGAGTGCACGTTTAGTGGAACTCTCGCAAATGGCCAACTACAGGCTACATGACGTGACCAAGTTGGGATACACGCTTTGTGGAACTCGCCTGTCCGGCCAATGAGGAGACTGGAAAAATGGAACCGGTGAGGGAAAATCACGGTTACGTCATGTTTTACATTAATAGATCGGTCTAAGCAAATTGTGATATAAATGGATTACAGAAAAACTTTAGAAAAAGAGAAAATATTTACTTAGTATTTTGATGGTCAAACTGAATATTATTAATTTTCTTATGACATGAAAGTCATTTGGCTTATTTTTTTTATCTAAACAATTTTAATTTGAACACATTCTTTATGTTACATAATTTGATGCACATTTTCATTGTGCAAATATATATATATATATATATATATATATATATATATATATATATATATATATATATATATATATATATATATATATATATATATATAACAAAACCGTAGGGTGGCGGTAGACTCCCGGGAAAAACAGGAGTGTTGGCAGGGATGTAAACATACTTCAGTGAAACTGAAGGTATCTCTTATATGAGAGAATGTAAAAGTGGCCATGCAATGAGCCGTATCCATTTGGAGGACTGTGGCCATCCAGAACCAGAGAATTACACATTAAATTTGATCTAATCCGTGAAACACACAGCTGCTTTCACTTCTCATACTGACGGAGGGAGCGATTCTGTGAATCTCCGTTATGAACGACTCCTTCTAGCCGACAATATTACAAGTTTCTGGCAGCGCAGCTACTCGTTGTCATATTTCATTTACATTGTTTGCTCATTTTATTCAACAAAACTAGCATAAGCCGAGTGTTTAGTGCGAGGTGCTGCTGCTTTACCTTATGGTGAATGCAGTAAGAGACTGTATTATCATCGTTAACGTTACCCGTTTAGCACAAAAGTTCATAACACACAAAAACGTTAAAAACTAAATCTTACCTATGAAATGTTCTGCCTTTGTGCTTGTTTTATTGGTTTATTGGTTATTATCTTCACGTAATACTGTCTTGACTACTAGTGCGGACACTGGTACACAGCACTGTATAAATATGGCGGCGTTATTGACGCATGCTCAGGGTCAGTATGCGATATCTAGTGTGTATATATATATCTATGTAATATAATCACGACAGCACCATAGACTGGACAGCACCTGTGAGACCGTTCTCGGCCAATAGGAGCCAATGAAACAATTCATCGACCAGCCAATGGGCGGCGGTGATAAAGCAGTGAAACAAATCATCAACCAGCCAATGGACGACAAAGCAGTGAAACAATTCGTCAAGTCGTTGTCTTAAATGAAGAATTATTTAAGCAGCTTCAGTTCAGTTTAAAACTAAGATGCAGCGTCAAATTGTCGGCTGTAAACAAGAGGAACCGCAGGTATGCCCAATACAACACTTAAACACGGCACTGACTTTTTCAATGTGTGCAGTTTGAGATGTTGAACACCGTTTAACAAGATTACGGAGATCATTTATGTAACAAACTAAATGATACTTAGTTTTAAGTAAATCAACAATTTTCAAAAGGTGTAGACTATTGTTGTGCCAGTAGGAAAATATATGTGCCATTATTATAACCCTAATTAAACCTAGTTCTTCAGGCTTGTTTAAGGGTTCACACAAAAATATTTACCATTTAAAATGTATTGTATTTACTCATCTCCTATTGATTTCAAACCTTTAAAAGTTTCTTTCTGTTGAACACAGCAGCGTCAATTCAACAGAATATTTGGAAGAAACCTTAAACCCATTGACTGAGAAACAAATACTGTGGAAGTCAATGGTTACAGGTTTCCAGCTTTCTTTTAAACATCTTTAGTGTTCAACAAAAGAAAGTAATTTTTGGTTGAAATATCCCTTTAAATTCTACAGATAAGCGTGTTGGAGCTGGATTGGCTGCGGCCCTCCAGATACTGAGTTTGATGCCTGTGCATCAGATGGCAACATGTGAGTGTGCTTGAGTTTCATTTAATACCATCAGTGTTTTGAGTCTGCTATTTCTTTGAACACACACACACACACACACACACACACACACACACACACACACACACACACACACAAAGAGAGTTCTATATTAAAATAAAAACAGCAATATAGTGAAATGTAATTAGAGTTCACAATGATAAATTTTACTTTCTAAATATTTGTTAACCCTCTCAGGCTCAAATTAATTTTTAGAAACAGGAAAAATCTGATATTTGGGGAAAATTATCATATGGGGTTGTACAATAGAATCCTGATTTTTAATTTTTTTTTTTTAGATTGACCCTCACATGCAAGGCGTTCTGGGATGTTGCAGTTTTGCAACATTGGCTCACTGTGGTAATTAGACACTGACGACTGTATATGATATGAACAATAACTTTTTATATACAACTTTTCAAACAATGTAACAAATTGCTTTTCAGTGGCAGAACGACAGCATAAACAATATGGGATCCAAATCCAATATTTCAAATCCTCATTGAGTAGGTCATGTTTCCATCTCACTTTGTCATGTGGTACTCCAAGAACCTTTTTTTTGTGTGCGTGTCATCTGGGCCCGGTTTTTCACAAGGTTTAATCCGGATAAAAGTGATCCTTATTTAGTAATCCTGTTTTTGCGATCCGTGATCACGTAATCCAGCTTACTTTTTGAGCCAGTTTTTCAAAGCAACATTGGATTGGATCAATCTGATCCGGATAGGAACTTTTCAGGATCACTAAATCTGGATTACCAGTGCTCAATCACAATGTAGATGGATAGATAGGCCTATGTAAAGAGCAACAAGTAGAATAGCCAGTGTGGGGTAAATATAACTTTATTTTTATTAGAAATGAAAACACACATTTAAAAAAAAAACTATAAAAATCCCACCCCATCCTGTTCCAGCAGTCCGTTTATGTGAGACCTACAACACAAACACTGATGTAAATAAAAAAAAAAAATGTTAATGTCAAAAACTCCACAATAATTTCAGACTTCCTTATCTGATATGGAGAGAGTAGCTTGTCTGAGCAAAGCCTTTAGGAGGTGAATCTCAAATCTGGCCTTGGTTTGCTGCAGTTTGGTCAGAGTCAGTTGTTCCTCGGCCAGATGAAGCTGTGCTTCTGCCCTTTGTCTCTTTTTGCAATTGTTGAAGGTGATTTCAAAAATCAGTGATTGCCATACTTTGCATTTTCTTGGTTATTCTGTAATCATTGCATGCATCACTAATAAATATTCTAAAAACAAAATTATTTTCCATTGTGATGAATATATATCAATTAGTGACAGAATAAAATGTTTTGTTTCTGGTCAATTTTGACAGCTGTTTGCCGTAGGCCTATACTGAAAGCCTAAATATGTTAAAGCCAAAAATCACTATAGCCTGACAGATGAACAAATAAAATTAAAACCTTATGAATAAATAGTATACCTCGTAAGATACTGCATGATCCAAAAATAGTATTATTTAATACATTTTTAAAGTTTTCATTACATTTTGGGCATAAAATCCACACTAAATCCACCCTTCTGATGGGATCAGTTTAATCCAGGTTTTTTGGATCAAATTGATCCAAATCCTACAAAAAAGGTCTGAAAAACCCAAAGTAAAGGTTTGATCCAGATCAAAACCAAGATTAGATTACGTGATCTTATCCGATTAGGTAATCCGTTTTTTCTTTTGAAAAAAACATTTTCAAGATTTGATCCAATCCCTGATCCAAAATCCTAGTGGATTACTTTTGAAAAACCGGGCCCTGGTGAGCAAGTTGGGAAACTGTTTGTAGCTAATTTTACAACCAAGTCCTGCAGTGGTACTTTTGAGTAAAAAAACTCATAAAATATGTATCTGGAGTAATAAGGTAGTTAATTTTAAATTGTTGCAAATCAGCAACGCCTGCCTTATCTGCCATTTATTTCTGTGATTAATAAACCTGGAAAAACATAACTCAGCCACTAGATGGCGGCAACAGAATGTATTGTGTATTATCCAAGTGTTTAATATTCTTGATTATTTTTTCATAAACTCATAATACATTTAAGTTGTTTTTTTTTAGAAAAAATATTACACCTTAACTTTAATTAACTTTATTTTAACACAATCATTCATTGACATTTTATATCAACATAATGTATACATGTTTTGTAGATTTTAAATTGTAATTTACTGATTTGTGATGGCAAACAATTCAGCATTATTACTTCAGTCTTTAGTGTTGGAGGATCTTTCAGAAATCAACTTTATATGTTTATTTATAGCTCAAAAAACATTTATTATCAATGCTGAACATTTTTGAGACAACAAACTTTTTTTCTGATCTCTTTGAGGAATGAAGTTTCAAAGAACAGCATTGGTTTGAAATGTTGTTGTTTTTTTGAAGCCTGATATACAGAGACTCTTGAATGCTTCATTATCAGGATGTCTTGGCTCACCCTGACGTTGGCTTGTCTCTGGGTCCCTTTAGCTCCTTGTTTCGCTTTTACCTTTTAATTGGTGAATGATGGGCCCTATTACACATTGTTGATTATTATTCTACATAACCTGTAGAACCAGTAACCATCCTCAGTTCATTTAAAAAGTTTTTACAGGTCTGTTTGATCTTTTAACATGAGATTTAGTTACTACACTAGTCAAAACAGAGTGCTAAACTCCACGTAAAGCTGGGGGGAATGTTCTTCATGTTTCCAAAGGCTGTTACGAGTTGTGCTTTGCTGTGTTTTGTGATCTTTTAGGCTTCAAGTCTCTCAGCGTTTCTCCAGCCTCGGTCATTCAGTAAGACGAGTTTCCTGCTCTCGGCGTCTTTTGTTCTGGTCATCAAGGAGGGGGGAATGTTCTGCGCATGCCTGTGGGGGAGGGAGAAGGACACGTCACTGAAAACGTCCCTGCATCACACCGAGACACCCAATCACTCAAGCCGAGACCAGATAATTTTGCATATGCTTTACAGTTTGAAAAATACCACGGTAAACCCTCACACAAACTCTGGATTTGAGATCTTTCAGGTTTTATCAGTTTGCAGGTTTATGTCACCATGATATAGGGTCAGACTTGATCTAAGGGAGCTGAATAAGTGGTTTAGTCACTCACCACCTCCCAAAAACATACCCAGAAGTCCCTGGTATATATAGCTCTCCCTCCAGCTCTTGGTTCGTGCTTGCTTCGGCAGCACATATACTAAAATTGGAACGATACAGAGAAGATTAGCATGGCCCCTGCGCAAGGATGACACGCAAATTCGTGAAGCGTTCCTCATTTTTATTGATTATTAGTTATTAATAACTGATTTACAGTCATTATTGATGATTTACAGTATCCGGTGAGGGAAAAACCAAGTCTAGACATGCAGTGCGCACGTCTGCGCGTAGATGGCAGCAGCGCGCCCCCCAGAGCGCCTCGCTGTTCACAGCACAGCTGACGCTCAACTCGGGTTTAAAGAAATAAAAACAACACATAAAGGCTTTCTTTCAAGTTAAAAAACGTCGTAAATGCTCACAGGGATCGTATTTATCATATTAGAACTTCTAAAAGCTGTTTAGGCAACAGCAATGTTCATGACACCGCGAGATCGTCATTTCCATTCACTCAAAGTGACAAATATAGACACAAATTTGATGTGTAAATATAATCCACAATTTAAATGTACTTGCCTCCATTGTGTGTGGTTATTTCATCGCTTGCCAGACAAATGTGCATCGTTTTCCATAGCTCGCGATTTCTCCATTAGGCTGCACGACAAAGTAGAGCAAAAACTGGATTAGAAGTGTCTAAAATATCCACCAACACACAATCAAAGCAATAATAAATGTCATGGCATGGTCTTCCCGAGGTGTGTTGTTAATGTAGTTAAAGTACGCGACACCGAAATCTTACCCTAATCAAAACCGTTCAAAACATTTACAGGCTCAAATATGCTTCAAACGCCCGATTAAAACAGCAGGCGGATCACAAGAGTATTATTATTTTACATATAAAAAGCGCTGTGAGTTTACAGATTAGTTGGTCTCGTTGAAGTCGCCTATTCTACCATGAAGACACTATGCCGAGTTCAGACTGAATGATTTTCAAAGTAACGTTAGTCGTGTCACAGATGTTTTTACACTGCATGACTATCTGGGCTAGCGTTTTGTCGCTGCTTTATTTAACTTTACACTGCATGGATCGGCGACAGGGGCTTTCACATTTTATGAGTTAACAATAGGAAGAATCGACTACAACTTCGTCCAAACTACGTCCCACAGCCAAAAAAACGTAGTATATTTTGTTAACTACATAACGAGAAAGAAACCTTTATTGAGGTAGAAAACGTAAATAATTGCTCACCTGGGTTTAAAGGGAATAAGCAATCTCATCTACTTTCTTTTATAACTTTCTGTATGAAACGTCAAACAGACACGGGTGCTCCATCACTAGTCCATTTCTTGAGTCCAAATAATCCGAAAATGAGCGCTTTTAACTTCTCCCCCAGCCTCCCGCTGGCCTGCAGACACACACACACACACACACACATACGCACGTGGATGCTGCTCTCTCATTGGCTGCAGGCGATCGCCGATGTTATTTTCATTCAAAACTAATTTCACACGGCATGACTTGAATCCGACAGCTCCAGATATTTAGCACACCAAATATCTCACAGGCATCGGCGACTCATCTGCGATTCTCTCAGATTCTCTACTGTGTGATTGTCACTGACGTGCACGAGCACCAATTTGCCTGTGATTTCAGGCATTGCGATTCAAAATCGGGGTTAAAATCCAATAGTATCATGCAGTCTGAAGTCTGCGTAAATGTAAATGAGCAATTCCAGTGTTATGGATGTGACATTTGCAGTAAAGTCTCAATCACAAATTCACATAGAAAGTATAAGTTAAAATTATAATGGGTTCGTACGGGTGCTGGAAATCCTGGAAAAAGCTTGACGTTTAATACAGTGTTTAATACAATGTCCTGTTTAATACAAAATTGTTTAAAGTAGTTGACATGTCAACTTGCTGCAGTAATCAAACCCTCTAATGCCTGCCCCTCTTTAAAGTTCTGGCCCACTGCTCTTGAACGCGAATGGATTGGTCAATATCAGGTGTCAACACCTTAGTCAATGCCTTCCTTCAAATGACAGGGTGCTACAGCCGAGAAAATGTAAAGGTCTGGGTACGAGAGAATGAAAATAACACTTGACAGATTTTGTTTTAGAAACCACCTAAAGTTACAAATAATGGCACATCTTTTTTTTTTTTTTTACCATTTTTGGGTAAGCTATCCTAAAATATTAATGTTCCAAAGTATTCAACAATTTAAATTAAAATGTCACATTGTGTTTTTTTTTTTTTAAACAGCGGAATGAATTTAAATGTGAAAAAGTACACACAGCATATATAGACAGAATTTACCGTGGTTGTTAGGTGCTGGAAAAGCATAAAAATGCACATTGAAAATGCTTGAAAAGTGCTGAAATTTGAAGTAAAAAATGTGTAAGAACCCTGATTATATAGAAACATCTGTTTATATTTTCCAAAACTACTAACCACAGAGTTATAGAATCAGTAAAGAATATCAATCTGCAAACATTTTTTAGATTGTAAATGCGTCGTTTTAACTAAACATGCGTTATGGATGTGACAAAAATAAGTATGCAAGTTTGCAGTTTACAACACACCTGTTTGAAATTCTGTGAATTAAACCGCACAACCCACAAGAAACGATGATATAAAAAAAAATAAGGGTCTGCTCTCTGTACAACAAATATTGCTGATTTTTGTTAGGTTACATTTTTGCATTTGTGAGGAAAAAGCATCGTTATGGCTGTGACCAATGTGAATTTGCCGCTTATGTGACTTTGGTAAATCAAATATAATTGTTTAAAACACTGATAGGGACATTTTGAGTATTTGTAAAGTATTGAAAATACATGATTGCACCAAAAAATATAGAAATGGTTTCATTATTTTAGTAAAAACTATTGTTTTTTTTTTTTTTTTAAGGCAAGGTTGACAGGTTGATAGAATTGCTCATATATGCCACCCACCTGTGGTGTAATTGGTTTGTTTACTGCAATAACTCCTAAGTAAATGCTGAACTATAATCTGTCTTGTCTCTGCAAGTTATTATCTCCGTTGTCGGTTTCAAGGTAATCACACGCTAACCATTCCTGTTAAATTAAAAAGTGATCCTCTCAGTTCTGGTGCTGTTTTGGACAACGTTAAACCTTTCCCAAAGTTGCTTGCACGTTAACTCTCTGGTAAACATTGCATGACAACTCGGGTATAGATGTAAAAATGACAATAAATAGTAGTGATCTTCATTTGAGACAGGGAAGATCCATTTCCAGAAGCATGAAAGTGAAAAGCTGTAGTTTATTTTCTTGACATTTGCTAATATTTAATCCTGGGTGTAATAATTATGATCTTGTTAACAATGTCTATATGTCTGCACCATTTAAAACATGTTGTTATATCATATTTTTCCTCTATATTCTATTTTTGTAACAGTTGTCAATGCCATAAATGTTTTATACAGTTTTTAAATGGTAGCTTTTGGGAATTTTAGGTGAATTGTGGTGTATTCTGCCACGTTTATTTATAGATACAAGTGAGATTTTAATATTTCAACCATTGAGATTGAAAATGTCAGCTCAGTGTGAGCAAGCCTTTAAACAGGAGTTCTAGAAATTGTGCAACAATGTTCTCATTTATTTGTATCTGTCTATTTTGTTTATATTGATAACAATTTCCCTTATCTATATACAAAACAAACAACATGCAGCAGTAGTTTAAGAAAAATGCTAAATTAATTGATCTGTTTTATGTTCCCAGGGGCTGACACTTTCAGCAAAGATACTGTTCGGGAATGGGCATGTTTCTGGGTCACAGCCTGTTCTTTGTCTGCCCTGGAGCCAAGCTGCAGATCTCAAGCCCAATGGAGGAGTTGGTATTAAACATGCTGTGATTCCTGTCCAGATGCATCCTTGCATTTTTTGAGGTTGAGTGCTCATGCTGGATGGACTCTGGATGCTTTGACTGCACAGGTTGGAGAGAAGTTCAGAGCAGCTTAGCTGGTCCACTGCTTTCACTAAGAACACAGTCGTGAAAAAGATTCATTGTTTTCATTGTAACAATAGCAAAGAATTGTTACAGGAATCAGCTGAACGTTGGTCCCACTCGCAAAATATTGTAGTAACCATATGGTTGTCTGCCTTTGTCCTAGTTCACCTCGAAGACTTGTTCTCCTCATGTATCAATTATTTTCCTTGTCTGTTTTGTCAATCCTTACTTCCACCATTCACTGTGCCAGCCTTCCCAGAGGCCTTTGCACAGAAGTAGACAACCCAAAACTAGTTGTGACTAAACTCTTTACTGTTTGGTTGGCCATACTTTTGCCGAAAGGAACGTTTTATTCAGTTATTTTAAGCCTTAATCCAGAGTCAAGCCAGGTGCTGCAGCTGTCTCTGCCAGCTCTTTCTGCTGGGCACCACTTCATTACCTATCGCTGCAACACATTTGTGGGCTCAAACACAAATCCTCAACCCCCCCCCATCATCTTCCAGATCATCATCCAAAGTCCCATCTGCAATATCTGCATCTGCAGCAAAGTACTCAAGTGTTTTACTGGTTTAAGAATGCAAATACTCCACAGCAATATACTCAACTGTAAAAATGTATCAAACAGGTGTTCTAACAACAGATGCAGCTAAGGAACATGTGTACATGCACAACCCATGTATTCACCTTGGCCACTGTAGCATATGTCTTCCTACTAACACCTGAAACAGCATGTGCCTTGTTTAACTAGACCAGCCTTTCCAACTGGTACGCTTGGAAATGCAATGCCCTTGTGTACCTACAAACTA